CATTACAAATGGCATGCTACTGTGGCAATGTTATTTGTAGACAAAAGCCTCACAGAGCGACGCTTGGGCAGAACTCACCCCCTAGACTGCCCCTCCTTCTTTCACCATAAGCCTTAACTCATCGTTTGTAAACTTATTCAGATTTTAGAATAGAATAATGTGAGTAATAGTGAAAGTTTTCATGAGTATAGACAAAATGACATTCAAATTACTCGCCTTGAAGATTCACAGGGGGACGTGTATCTGTATATCCAATTGGAAAGTATGCCGCTCACCCAGCCCAACGGCGATTAGTTACTCTCAATGAGCTGGATCTTTCATGAGAAACCAACCACAATACTACAAATTATTAGATCAATAAATCCAAGTCGGGCTTCTAAAGTTTCTGGACAACAATGATAAATGTATGTTCACTTGTTCAGTAAATTATATTCACAATTTGTAGTATCTTATTATAATGAGATAACTGCTTGGGCGAGGGGGGAACATTAGATGGAATTTGGCTTTATTTGAGAGTATTACCAATTTTCATATTAGTGAAAAATGTCCAAGCTTAAAAAGTAAATTAAATAATAATCATGTTGAACTGATTAAAATTTAATTGACCGTTTTTAGAATTAACTTGATCGTTTTCGGAACAGATAACAGATATCCAAATAGAAAACTTACAGCCTTTACCTGTCGTTAATTCGCAAACAAAAAATGGCCAGATCTACGCAGCTCGTCAATCTAATCAAGAATATAAATGTATTCTTTGTGGGTTCGAAGATGACTCTAAGAGTACTAATTATTAGTTTTGCGATTCAGTTTAAAACAGAGCTCTGCTTGGGCAAATGCAGCCGACTAATGAACATAATTAACAGATCTTTGTGATATAATTAACTAAAATATTTAGTGAAGTGCATCAATATAATTCGTTGGTTTGAATATTAGTTAAATTGTTCAAGCGAAAAATTAAACCAAATCATCAAAGTCAGAATATAATACAAACTGTTCGATTATGAAGCATTCCATTGTCTTTCATTGTCATGGGCGTAAGGTTGTTCAGTTTCGGCTTGCTGCTAATATTGCTGTCCTATAATGTGAGTTGATATTTTGGAGCCAAGCTGATCGTTTCAACATAATCCTTCTCCCAGGAAGCAGCTATGTTTAAATTCACGAATGTGGTTTGTGAATCATGGAATAGATCGTGGGTGAGCGTCGACGAGTGCCGACTGAGGGCTGTAAGTCGCAATAAAACCACATTGACCATGATGGCCAGTCTTCTACATCCAGTAAATGAGGTACTGATCAATGCACAGGTGTTCAAGAGAGCGAACGGATATAGGCCATGGCTCTATAAGGGCCAATTCGATGCCTGTCGATTTATGAGAAAGGCTTATATTCCGCTCGTTATTTTCATTTTTAGCCTAATCAAGGATTACACCAACCTGAATCACCCCTGTCCGTATGTGGTAAGTATCTTATTTAATTCGCTGGCTTAATATTCAATTAACACCAGATTGCACACAGGGACAGGTATACATGAAGGATATGTTTGTGCAAATGGATAATATACCGCATACTATGCCAACCGGCGACTATATGCTGAAAATGGAATGGATACTCCATAAGAAGCCAACAGGCATATCAAAAGTATATGGAACATTTACTGAGGATATAATGGAACAATAAATTTTGAAAAGTAATTAAACAAAAATAATTTATGTGTGTGTGTGTGTGTGTGGAATAAAGCTTTTAAAATAATAAGGGAGCATTAAGTTAAGTCCATTAGTCTGTTAAATTATACTTAAAAAGTTTTCCAACTGATTTAAAAGTGTTATAGTTTAAGAGTTCTGGCCATTTAAAGATTTTTTACACATTTTGCCCACAATTATAGGAATTTTCCCATAATACAGAAAAATATGAGAACAATTTACTATGATCACGAATTTCAGCAAAAATTGCGATTAGCAAATCGAATTGGCAGAGATTCGGCAATATTTATATGCAATATTTTGGAATGTTAGTCCGTCTAATGGAAGAAAGTTAAGCTGTGAGTCGAATGAATATTATATACATATAGTTTATTCCTACAAGCCTGATTATCATCAACAGCTGAGAGTATCTAGTTAGTTAGTTTATTAGTCAGAAAATTATGCATTAATGGTTTTTAAACTAGTTTCTAAGTTTTTCAAATACCCCGAGAACATAAGAGAGTAGTCGGGAATGGAAACAGGCCATCGAAATGGAATTGATATCAATCGATATTTTTGTTGGAATATTAGTGCGTTTATTCAAGCGAACGGAAAAATATAACTAATAATATTACCGAGCACATAATAAGCGAAAAATCAATTGCAATTCTTCGCCATGGGCAACAGGTTGATAGTAATTGGAATGGTTATTCCATTGCTGGCCTTAAAACTGAGCTTGAATGTGAGCGATATTTAATTCAATTTTAAAATGAAAGCTAACGCATTTGATATTGTTTGACACACGCAGGAAGCGGTTATATTTAAATTTACGAATGTGGTTTGTGAAAATCACAATAAGACATGGATTACTGTGCACTGGTGTCGACTGCGGGCAATCAGTCGCAATAAGACGACCTTTAACTTAAATGTAACTCTGAATTATCCTGTGGATCATCCCGTTAACATTAGAGGTCAACTACTGCAGAAGGCGAATGGCTACAAGCCTTGGCTCTTTTCCGCGAATATCGATGCTTGCCGCTTCATGAAACGGGCCTATAATCCCCTTGCCATATTGGTATTTAAGCTCTTCAAAGAATTCTCGAATTTCAATCACAGCTGTCCCTATGTGGTAAGTATTCAATTGTGTTCTCTTCGCCCGCTTTTAATTCATGTTTTTTGCTTAATAGGGTCCGGTGATTATACATGATTTTTACCTTCGTGCGGACAAAATACCGAATGCCATGCCCACAGGGGATTACCTATTGGTGTTGGCCTTTTCCTTCAGTAAGAAGCCACAGATAACAACAAAGGTATATTTTGTATTCGTAGAGGATCTCTTATGAGTTCAAATCTATTATTGAAGTACAACAAAGATGTCAAAATGTTTTTTGAATAAAGCAAACTTAAGATACAAATTCATTTCTGGCATTTAACTAGATCGAATTGAATCGAATTATTTAGAGCTTTGTTTTACATATTTTTTGGAAATTTTCGCCAAACGCAACTCGACTATCTTTGAAAACCAGACCAAATCGCAATTACTGGAAATTTATCAATTAAATATTCGGCTTATAGAGCAATTTAAAAATATAGTATCTTTACGCTTGTGGTTAATTACAATTGTAATTATGAAACGCATGGATTTCAATAATAATTGGAAATAAAAAAAAAAGAGGCTCATATTTTGGGTTTTGTTGCCAAATCGACGTCATGCGCAGCGTTCTCCTCTTATTTGGCCTGTTTCTAACTCTAATGAGGCTCGGTTTTACTGTAAGTAGAGAGGAGCTTAATATTGTTTATTCGAAATATTAACTGGTTTAGTTTTCTAGCATGCCGCAGATTTCAAGTTCACAAATGTGATCTGCAAATCGTACAACGAATCCTGGTTTCTGATACACAATTGCCGCCTGAAGGCAGTCAATCGCCACAAGACTTCGTATAACTTTAATGGCACAATTCTATATCCGGGCAATCATATTATAATTAACGTTCAATTGCTTAAGAAAGAAAATGGTTACAAGCCCTGGCTATATAAAATTACCTTTGATCTGTGCCGGTTCCTGAAAAAGGCTTACAATCCAGTTGCCATATTGGTTTTCAAATTGTTTAAGGATTATTCCAACTTTAATCATCCCTGTCCGTTTGTGGTAAGTCACCAATTAATAATATAAATGAAATAACCTCTAAGGTTCTTCGTTTTTTAGGGTAGACAACTTATTAATGATCTGCATTTAAACTATGACGCTTTACCCTTGCCCATGCCAACTGGTGAATTTTTAATTGAAATCGATTGTTTCTTTGATCACAAAATTCTGCTTTCAACAAAATTATACTTTCAAATCCGCGAAGATTTTACAAGAAGTTGAAGCATTATTATTAATAGATCAATTTGGTTTTACTATAATTATAATTATATAATAAATAAACGATTTGTTGAGCTGCTTCTCTCATTTTCCTATAGGATGCCAGACTTGATGAACTTTATATCAACTATGAAGTAGTTGATATTAGAGTTGTGTCGTTTGGTGTCGGGTCATTAAAATGAACTAACTTATTCAGTGATTAGTAAACTAAATCGGTCATTTAGTTCGCTCGTTCAGCTATTCAGTCGGTCTTACCCGTTCAGTCGGTCATGAACGTTGTATGCAACTCAGCAGTTCAGCCGTTCCTGAACGATACATTCTTTTGAGATGTTCAGTTCTTAATAAACATAAAAGATATCGGGATTTTAATTTCACTTTTGATTTGACTGCATAATTCATGACCGACTGAATAGCTGAGCAGAATTCATCGTTCATGAACGACTGAATAGCTGAACGAGTGAACTAAATGACCGATTTAGTTCACGGCCAGAAAATGAACGAGTTAACTTATTCAGCAAATTGAACTAGAAATCCGTACTCTAGTTGATATTGTTGTGTGAAAATCTTCGATTACTTTGGAACTATCCGCATATGAATATTTAAAAGTGTAAATATACTTGCCTATGTCTAGTTCGTATATAAAATGTTTTGTGACTAAGTAAATTCGTCCTGTTTCCTCGTTTAGTTATTATTCAATGCATACTTCGTATTGTTTCAAATACATTGAATACTTACAGCTAAAAAGCCAAAGAAATGTGAATAAAGTAAAAGGTAAAGCCTATCCGACTACTGTATTCTCTATAGAGTTAAGCCTTATATACGGTAATCAAACAAAAACACAAATTTAATCACGTTAGTTAAACTCTTTGGAAATTACCGAGTTTGTTCGAGCGGATAAAATGCAATAATAAACCCATTTGATTTGTGCTTGGCTACAAAATTTGAAACACAATCAAATCAAACTACATCGCAATGGGCATCAGACTGATCGCTCTTGGTCTATTGTTAATATTCCTGTCTCTAAATCTCTGCTATAATGTAAGTGACATATGAACAAGTATACTATACATACTAATGTAGTTCTCTTTAAAAGGAGGCTGCTGACTTTAAATTCACGAATTTGGTGTGTGGACATATAAACGAATCGTGGATTACCGTAAATCAGTGCCGACTGCGAGCTCTCAGTCGGAATATGACAACCTTGAATATAAATTTATCTCTACTTTATTCAACTGGAAGAAATATTCAGGTCAAGGCTCAGCTTTTCCAGAAAGCAAGTGGCTACAAGCCCTGGCTCTATAAGGTAACCATCGATGCCTGTCGATTTCTGAAGAAGCCCTACCATCCTCTCGCAATACTTGTCTATAAGATTTTCAGAGACTATTCAAACTTGAACCACACTTGTCCCTTTGAGGTGAGTATCAAAACAATTCACTTAGTTTTAATAGAAAGCTTACATTTCAGCTTCACAGGGCCTCTTAATTGTAGATGGCTTATATCTAAGGATGGAGAACTTACCGCATGCTATACCAACGGGTTATTATCTTCTGAAATTGGATTGGTTTATAAATAGGAAATTACAAATAACAACCGATGTTTATTTTGCATTCGAGGAGGACTTATAAAGGTAAAGAAATCACCTTAGCCCGGGAGGGTACTCAGCAGAAGGAGACCTTATAAAAAGTGGCTTACAATATTATATCATATTTTAATATATCTCAAATACCATTTAATGTAAGTTTCAATTGTTATAAGTACATTAAATATGTACCTTTTTGGTATGAACAATAAACTTACAAGTTAAAGAAATTTGTTAAATAACATAGAATAGATTTAAGACATGGAAGTGCTATGCCCATAGCTGGGCGCGGTCAGCGAGTGCCCGAAGGTATCCTGAAAACGAGAAAGAGGTTGTTCAGGGGAGAAAACGTGGTACAAGCTCTTCTTAATTATGCATATTACACGAAAAGAGGAATATTGCTTTAATAAAAACAATATTAGTTATTCGCTTATCTCAATTATTAGCCGTCGATAATAAAGCGTTTTGGGAATTACTGAATGTGCTCGAGCGGATAAAATGTAATAAAAAACCCATTTGATTTGTGCATGACAATCAAATTTGTCGCTCAAAACAAACTACATCGCAATGGCCATCAGACTGATCGTGCTTGGTCTATTGTTAATATGTATGGCTCTTAATCTAATATATAGAAGCCTAATGTAATTCTCTTCAAAGAGAGGCTGTTAGCTTCAAATTCACGAATTTGGTCAAAGGTCAGCTCTTCCAGAAAGCAAATGGCTACAAGCTCTGGCATTATAAGGCAACCATCGATATCTGCCGTTTTTCGAGGAAACCATATCATCCTAAAGCAATAATTATCTTTAAGATGGTAAAATCATCTTTTATTATATTATAGATACTCGACATTACATGTTTGTTGAGAGAAAATCACCATCAAAGTGGACAGAAATTAAATGAAATAACAAGAAACAAAAGGAAAATAAAATAAGAAAATATTATAGAGCCAAACTAAGCTCCTGCTCATAGCTGGACGTGGTCAGCGAGTGCCCGAAGGTATCCAGACTGCAACGCTTTTATAAGGGAAGAGCTCTTGTTATTAATGCATAATACGAGTAAAGAAGCAAATGGCTTTAATGAATGCAATATTAGCAATACGCATATCTCAATTAAAAGCCGACGATTATATTGCTTTTTGGGAATTACTCGAGCGGGAAATTTGTAACATCGAAATCCATTTAATTTCTTAATGGAAGGTTTTTTTTTAAACAAAATCAAATCGAGATCCATCGCAATGGGCATCAGGCTGATCGTTTTTGGTCTACTGCTAACACTCCTGGCTCTAAATCTAAGCTATAATGTAAGTGAGAGAGCCTTTTAAAGGATGCAAAACTAATCTGAGTCTCTTCAAAAGGAGGCTGTTGACTTTAAATTCACGAATTTGGTTTGTGGACATATCAACGAATCGTGGATTACCGTAAACCAGTGCCGACTGCGAGCTCTCAGTCGGAATATGACAACATTAAATGTTAATTTAACTCTTCTACAGCCGATTGTTGGGAATGTTGATGTTAAGGGACAGCTCTTTAAGAGAGCAAATGGCTACAAGCCCTGGCTCTATAAGGCAACCATCGACGGCTGTCGATTTCTGAAGAAGGCCTATCATCCTCTCGCAATACTCGTCTATAAAATTTTCAAAAGCTATACAAACCTCAACCACACGTGTCCCTACGAGGTGAGTAAAAGACTTATATAGCTATCCTGCTGAGCCTATATTTAAGATTCGTAGGGCTTGGTACTTATCAAGGACTTGTATCTCAAGTTCGAGAACTTACCGCATGCTATACCCACGGGTGAATATCTACTGAGATTGGATTGGTGCATAAATAAGAATATACAAATAAGATCGGATGTTTATTTTGCATTCGTAGAGGACTTGTAAATGTGTGTGGGTGTAAATAAAATATTGAAGTAATGCAAATATATTTTGCATTTATATTTGAATAATTTAAAACTTATGCTTGAGTACGTATATGGTTATTGTTAATGAATAACATTGAGCAATGCTGTCAATTTGAATAAATAAACATAATTGACTTTGATACTGGCCTAACTGGAGACATCAGAGCCTGGTAGCTCAATGGCTTGGGGCCCATTGAATGCCTGAATGTGTTCTAACAAATTATTGATAAAATCTTTTAGCAATGTGCCTTGCCCCTTAACTGCCTTCCCATCTGCCTTAAACGTACTAAGTAGACCATTGGCATTGTCTTTGGGCCATTGGCAAATCTCACATAAGCAAAGCATTCATTTTCCAATTATTTATTGATAACTGTGTGTGCGAGTGTGTTTGAGAGCTGGGCAACATCCTTATCCTATGCAATGCCCACCCAAAAATAACTAACCTTCGCCTGCGCACTGGCAATCACCTGCAATAAATCTCTGGTCCTGGCCAGGACACAGCTGCGGCGGGACTATGGTTGAGCCGGAGGCTGAAGCTGGAGCTGGAGCTGGTTCTGTGGTTGCCCACTCGCATCGAGCTCGTCTGGACTGGCTTGGCTTACAAGGCGGCAGCAGCAGCAATGTCTGGCAGTTGTTGTCTGCAAAATATTTGCATTTTCACTTTTGATTTATTATTGTCATTGCCATGTGTAAATTGCCAAAGCAAAGGTGCCAACAAGCAGCAGCCACAGCAGCTAAACAGGTGTGTGTGTCTGTGTGTGTGTGTCTGCGTGTGTTACGTTGACAAGGACACATTATGTTGGCCAAATGAATGGTAATTGCGGCACTGAAACAAGTAATTGAAGTGCAACTCAAATAGATACATTGCTGTGGTTGGCCCATCCCCCAAACTAAACCTTCAGCCCGGCAATCATTTGCGGCTGCTTCTGTTGTTGTTGTCCGAGCGTTGATTTAGCTGGCCACACTTCGAGTTGTGCACTTAAAGTTTAAGTTGAGTTTTTGGCTGACGCTCATTTGAGTTGCTAATTACAACTCCAAATTGGCCTGGCAGGAGGCCAACTTTAGCTACCACTCCCAATGCCTCTCCAACTCCTATTCAAGCTGCCATTGCTGATTACTTCCGCCTCTATGCAATTTCCGCTTGGCGCTGCCTAAGCAGCTTGCCAGCAAAATGTCAAACAGCGACAACTTTATATGGCCGCAAGACGAGGCAATAATGACAACAGCAACAGGACCGAAAGGACAGGGCACAACATAAGCAGATAATTACACGGCAGCCCGAGCTGCAGAGCTGCTGATGTCCATGCAGCCCCTCGGCAGCCCCTCGGCGCATTCAAAGTGTGGCAGCCACAAAGTAGAAAATGACAAAATAAAGAACCACAAGCGGAAAATTAAAAGAGCAAGACCAGCACAACAATACACACACATTTGGGACACAATGCCAGCAGACAGACAGCGAGTGCTCTTAAAGTCTCAGCCTAGTTAAAGACAACGCAGCAACCCATTGGAGTCTCTATGCCCGGGGGCAGCTGGAACTTTATCAAGATGCTTATCGGCTGCAAATGCAAAATTCCTGTTTAACAAAATTCCAACTTCGACATTTCGTACATTTTTGACTGTCTGCGCGCGCTCTGTAAGCGAAACCCAGAAACAGACAACAGCCCAAACTCCGCAATAGCCGGCAGCCACATTTAAATGTGCTGGCAACTTTTGGCTGCGGCTCCACCTGAAACCACCCGGGCCAGCACCACCCGGACACGTGGCTGCTGCTGCTGCTGCTGCCGCCGTCTGGCACTGATTTTATGCTTTATAACCTTCGATATGCGAATGGCAAACAATGTTTAGCGCTTTGCCGGGCCGACAAGTGTGGCTCTGCCACCTGAGGGCTTCAGCTCCAGCACTGGGCGTATACGCAATATTTACGACTCTATGCGCCTTTTTTTTCCATCGCCTTTCTCCCTTTTTCGAAGCGCTGTGAGGGTTGCAAGTGCTCGGCATTTTTGGCATTTCCATACATCAAATATTTATGCCATATTTTAGCTATTGCGACAATGAGTTAAATCTGATGGAATTCAAACTTTCTCCCTCTCTGTTTGCTCAGCCACAGCGGCTGCGATAATAAAGTTTAAAGCTGATAAACGATTTCGCAATCAAATTATGCGCATAACCAGATGAAGAAGGGGCGGAAACGAACGTGTGTGTGTGTGTGCAAGAGTTGTGTGTGTGAGTGCGTAAAAGTAGTAAAATTTAGATGAGATTCTGCAGTAAACGCGGGATGGAATGGAATGCTAGGCTTTTATCAAGGTTTTTGATTAAGTTGGAGGAAATCGAGTTTTGGAAAGGGCAAAAAAAAAACGTGAACATCAGTAAATTTTCTTGAGTAAAAAGCGTAGATTTGAATATATTTATATATATTTTTTTTTCTTCTTCAAAATTTATTTAACTATGTTTGTTAGATGTCAATTTTGTAATAAAATTAAATTACAATTTAGGAACTTACGACAAATCAAAATTTAGGAAGCTTGGCTTACAAACTGTAACCAAAGGCACAGAGTTGCTTCGAAACGTGAACCGAACCAGCGACTATTAATTTTGAGTACGCAAAAAATACGGAAGAGACAAAATTCAGTGTACATATCGCATTTGAGTAGCCAAAAACGCATTTGCAAACTTAAAAGCAGCTCATTTGCGTATTTATCAAGAGTTTCAATAGATACTCGAAAAGTACTCAAAGCCCGTTCTTGCCACTTTGTCTTGGGCACGTGCATGTCGGCGTATAACTGAGTTTAGCTGGCCACAATTTGTAGCCTGGTCATTACCAGAAAAGGACTTAATCCACTTGGATTTAAGCCCTGTTTTGGCATTGACAAATTTATGCATTTATCTAAAGCCAAGGACAAATTGAATTTGTGCAGCAAGTGCAAGACAGCGACAGTTAGCTCAAAAAGTTGTTGTTATACTCTGTGTCCTGGCAATCCTTTACACATGATATTGTTATTTTTGTCGTAATTAAAAACCCATGAAAGCGACGACCAAACAACTGGCCACAATCGCATGAGCAGACAGATACACACACACACACACACACGCACAGACAGAGAGACAGACAGACAGACACATACGAGTGTGTGGTAAAATAAACATGAGCGTATTGATGGGAGCAGCTCGGACGGCAAAAACTTTCATATCAATTTTAAGCCAAAGTAATGAAAAAGGAAAACGGAAAATGGAAAAAGGGAAATACTAAAAGAAACGAAAAAGCAAACGAAACGTATAGACAAAGCATATTTACACAAGCGCAAGTACACGCAGGACCAAGCAGGACAACGCTGACGTTGACGATGATGACGCCGATGATGTCGATGATGATGATGATGACGATGAAGATGATATTGTTGATGATGATATTGTTGCTGCCAGCGCACAAAGCAACGCTTATGACAAGCAGCTGCCAAAAAAAAGAAAAAAAAAATAATAAAATGGAGGCCCACATCTAAGGATACTGTTTACACACAGGACTTCCTTAGTGTGGGCGCGTCTGCTGGAACGAACGAAATTAAAAACCAATAAGAAGCTGCACACGAAATTAAAAATTATGTTTTCCTTTTACATTTTACTGCTGCACAATAACAACAACAACAAAAATGTAGCAACGCATTAAAAACAAAATATACAAAAATTGAAAAACATAAAGCGCAAAGTTTTCGCTTTAAAACATTTGGAAAATATGCTAAAAAAGAAACTTTACGCCTTTGCTTTTGTGTGCTGCCTGTGGCGGGCATATTGATGGGCTAGTGAAACATGTGACATTTAGAAATTGACTAAGTAGCTATTTAGTATAAACGGGTATGCCTGAATAGGTTGACAAGCTGTTTAGCCTTTAGCCATGGGCTAAGTCTCTATCGGAGCTAGGTTCTCTCCTTTATAACTATATGCCAGGTAATTAGGGTATCTGGTCTTCGACTACTGAACTGGTTCTTTTGAAGCTGTAAACTTTTACAATTAGGCAAAGGAATAAAAGTTGCGCGCGCCCAAAATGCTGCTATGCATTTCGATAATTGAATATTTGAGCTAAGCTGCAGACAGTAAAAAACGTAGCATACATTTCATCGCTATGTACTCCATGGCCCTATAGCAATGCACATTGCTAGTTTATTACGCTCTCGCAGTCCGTTTGGAGCGTATTAATTTTCACCAATTAAACGGCCAGTCGAGGCGAGACATTCATTTAATTTACTACCTGTTCTACACCACCCCCCACGCCCCATCCATCCTTTTGTCCGACGCACCGCTTGGCATACCACTGCATAGCTTTGGCCATGAATAATTTAAGCAAATCGCTGGCTGCTTTTTCCGTCTGTACGTGTCGACTGTGCGGGATTAGACGGCATTTGCATATTTTAATTATTTAGATTGTTGTGTTGAGCTACTTACGCGCCGCCCGGTGCCCCACTATGCCTGTGCGTCTAACGGATGTAAAAACGGAAGTGTCGACGACGCCAGCCAGACACCAAAAACATCCCAAAACAGTCGAAACTTAATTAAAAGCCGCCGTTTTCCTTAACAGCTGCAACTGCAAATCGGCAGCAGATAGATTGGAAGTTCAGGACACAGGAATCTGAGCTATATAAAGAAGTGTAATTCTTAGAAAATCGAAATAACTAATTGTAGTTGTCAGCTAAGAACTTTTTTCTTTGAATGCTTTAAGGTCAAGATGCTTAAGACTTAAGTGGGACGAAAGATCATCTTAACTACATTTCCATCAAGAATTCTTTCGTTGCTTATTTTAAGATCTGAGAATGGACCATGGCATCGCGCATTTTGAGTTACTTTTATTTCCGGGTATTTTAATATTAACAGCTTATTAAATATCACTACAGATTCCTTTCTAATTTCTCGAAGTCAAGAGATTTGTCCAGCTTAGAATCTTATAGAAACCGCAACTGCACCATTCTGATTCCAGTTCCGTTTTGAAGACCC